TCACTCCTACCAACCCATCCTCCCTTGCTGACTTGTGTAAAGAAAATCACATCCACCCGGCTCACATTCACAGTGCTCGTTGGTTGGGCAACCCCCAAGCCAACAAAAAGTCCCATGGTTCTTTGATCGTTAACTTCCGTGAAAAGGAACTTGCCAAAAAAATTGAGAGAGGCAGTCTTTTTTTTAATAGTCTTTGCCTTACAGGTGCCCATTATAAAAAGAGTCCCATTCAATGCTTTCAGTGTCTTGAAGTCGGCCATACGGCTCAATTTTGTAAAAACTCTCCGTTATGTAAACATTGTGGTGATGCTCATAATTCCAATGAATGTACAGCTGATTTCAATAACAGTAATTGTATCAAATGTATTCAGTACGAAAAAAAAATAATCCTTCATTTGTTCCAGAAGATGATAATGTTCGCTTTAATCATTCTCCTATGAGTCTTAAGTGCCCTCTCAAAACTAAGAATTTTCGCCGTAACATTATTAATCAATGAGTAGTTACGACCCATTATCTTCAAACCTTTCCTTTTCCCAAAATCTTCATCCCGGTACTTCATCGACTTCACCCGAACCAGCTATTATCCCTTTCAAGATTCTTCAGTTGAATTGTCACAATTCCTTTGATGTTACCTCCAACGCGCTCAACTCCGATTCTCAGTTTGCCATCCTCGTCCTTCAAGAACCGTGGATCAATCCTCATACTTTAAGAATGCCTCATTATTCGAACTGGACTTGCATTCTAGATTCTAATCACTCACCAGCAAACTATTCCGACAAACACCGCATCTGCTTCTTCCTCGACAAATCTTTCGCTTCTGAAGAAATTCATCTCATTAAGGATGGAAATCGCATCCTTTCAGCTATCGACCTAATCATTGATAACGATAATATCCGTAAACTGCGTCTTATCAATCTGTACAATCCTCCTAGAACGTTTGAAGGCATCAAGATTCTTTCCGACTGGTTGGATCAACACAACGATCGCCGTATCCCTTCTTTCATTTTCATGGATTCTAATCTTCATCATCGATCATGGAATCCCCCCCTCTACAATCATACCCACCAACAATCTAAAGATCTGGTTCGTTCCTGTGGTCGACACGGTTTCAAGATTGTGTCAGAAAAGGGCACTCCAACATTCATGAATAGAAGAACCAGCTCTACAGTTATCGACCTTACCTGGGGAAATTTTTCTGCGTTTAAATTCATTGAATCCTGTTGTACTTCGTCGGTTAACTTTGGATCAGATCACCAATCTATTGTTCTTAATCTTAATTTCAATCCTCATTCGGTTCCGGTTACTAGATTATCTGTTGACCTTAAAAATGTAAATTCTGAAAAATTTTGTTTTGATCTTTCTCAGTGTTTGGAAAAACTCAATGATGTTTCTCTTGATTGTAGTGATGATATCGATTCGTTTGTTGATGAACTCACAATTTCTTTTCAAAATTCGATCGACCGTCAAAAAAAAACAGTTAACTCCAACACTTCGAAATTCAAGGCCTGGTGGGATAAAGACATCCTCTCACCGATCATCCAGAAAAGAAATCAAGCCCGGAAATGGATGCTGATCGCCCATTCGGTTCAAGCCTCCGACTGTTATCAATTCTGGCAGAAGAAATTCAAAGACAAGGTTTTGAGCTGAAACGTAACCACTGGAGGAAGTTTCTGGCAGAGAGTAAAGACCATCAGATTTTTCAAGCTTATAAATTCACTAAATCCATCAGCAACGGTAACATCGCTCCCTTATTGAATGAAAATAATGATCTCACCTCAGATAAGGAAGAGCAAGCTCGGCTCCTCTTTAAAGGCACCTCCGAAGTTCCTATTAACTGTACTCTTGATGACATCGTTCCCCCATCCTTTTCTAACCCTTTCCCATTCCCGGATATCTCTTTTCATGAGATCGATATAATTATGTCCCACCTTCCTAAAAAGAAAGCAAGTGGCCATGATGAAATCGCTAATGAAGTTCTTATTTGGAGTAAAAATATCGTCATACCTTATCTTATCAAACTTTTTTCAGCATGTCTTCGCTTGGGCTATTTTCCTAGCCGATGGAGACATGCGATCACGGTCATTATTCGAAAAGCTGATAAGGATTCATATGCTAACCCTGGATCATATCGTCCAATCGCTTTACTTTCATGTTTAGGAAAAATCTTCGAAAGTCTCTTGACTAAGAGGATTACTTACTGGGCTGAAAATAACAATGTTATTGCTCACGGCCACTTTGGTGGCAGGGCAAACCGTTGTACAGATGATGCTAACCTATTTTTATCTTCATGGATCCGTCAAAAATGGAGAGAGAGAAAAATTGTTTCAGCTCTTTTTCTGGACGTAAAATCTGCCTACCCCTCAGTCATCAAAGATAGGTTAATTGATACCCTGATTAACAAAAACATTCCTTCTTACCTTGGGGCAATCGTCCAGTCCATTCTTTCTAATCGATCTACCTCACTCCGCATGGACGGTTATCTTTCCCCCTCCTTCGACTTAAAATGCGGACTTCCTCAAGGCTCTCCCCTTTCCCCTATCCTTTACATCATCTACAATTCAAATCTTTTAATTAGTAACCCCCTCGGCTTACTTCAAGACAAGATTTCGTTGGGATTTATTGATGACGTTACACATTTTGTTGCTGATAAACATCTCGAGAGAGCTATTTCTTCACTAGAAAGTGAAGGTGATCGTTCGTTGGAATGGGGAAAAAGAAATAATGCAATCTTCGACAAAAAGAAAGCTAATTTCATGATTTTTACTCACAAAAAGGTTGATGTTTGTCCTTTCCGACTTGGTGATGTTCGCATGCCAAAGTCCGATTCCGTCAAATACCTCGGCATCATTCTGGATCCCCAACTCTCCTTCAAACTTCATTTAGATAAGGTTAAAAAATGTGGTATCAGCTCGATTGGTCAACTTAATCGTATTTCTCGGTGTTCTTTTGGTTTGGGCTTACAGCAATCAAAAAATTTGATTATTAGTGTTCTTCGTTCTAGAATTCTTTACGGAAGTTGTATCTGGGCTTCTAAAAGGAATGAATCAGCAGTTAAAAATGTTATCAGTAAAATTAATAATCAAGCTAACAGAATTATTCTCGGTGTTTTTAGAACCACTCCATGTAATTTTCTTAATAGGGACTCACCTCTTATTCCTTTTTTTGATGTATTAAAAAAGAAAAATCATTTGTATGTCAGTAAAAAATTAACAGCCACTAACGACCATCCAATCAAACAACTCATCAATCACGAAATCAACAATTTACCTCGATCTCATCTATCCTCAATCCACAATCTTCTCGACAATCACCTTCTCCCAGAATACGACCTTCAATCTCTAGAAATAATCAAGTTTCATGTTGTTCCGCCGTGGTCCAACTTTTCTCTTGATGTTAACAATTTGAACATTAAGAAAGAAAAAGCTAAAGAGATTGTGACTAACCAAATTTCTGACAAAAAAGTTAAAAAAGAGATCCTTCTTTTTTCGGATGGTTCTAATATTCCAGATAAAGGAACAGCTTCAGCGGCTTTACTCAATAATTCAATCTCCTTTGCCTGTAGAATCAATGATGCAGAGAAAGCTTCGGCTTATGAAGCTGAGGTCCAGGCTATCAATATTGGTCTCGATATCATCAGTAATGAAGCCGAGAAGAACAACTTACCACCATTCAACAATGTCAACATCTTTTCGGATAACCAAGCCACTCTTCAAGTTATCGCCAATCCACCTCTGTCAAAATCAAATCAGTCTACCTTTATTCAAATCTTCGACAAGTTGAATATCCTCATCACCGATTTCCATTTTTCGATTTCGCTCCTATGGTGTCCGGCACATGTCGGCATTCCAGAAAATGAGAAAGTCGATCAACTCGCCAAAGAAGCCACAGAAGGAAACACTCTTTTCGACCTCGAACAACAATCTAGAACACTTTCCAACATTCAACAAATCATCAATTCAAAATTCAGTTTCGTCAAAAAAAAGGATCCTATCATTCGCAATCATATCTCCTTATCCAACATACCTATCAAGATTTTTAATTCGCTAAATCGACTCGAACGCGGACTTTCTTCGACAATTTACCAGCTACGATCGGGTCATTCACCTCTTAACGACTTTCTCTTCCATATCGATAAAATCGACTCGCCAGACTGTAGTCATTGTCGATCTCCAGAAACCGTCAAACACTTTCTTATCGAATGTAGAAGATTCAATCAACAAAGGAAAAATTTCAGATCAAGACTAATTTCGAACAAAATCAAGATTAATCCAAATTCATTGAAAGACTTACTCGACAATCCTTCAGTTTTCGATCTCCTTTCAAAATTCATCCTCGATACCAAACGATTTAAAAGCATCAAGATCTATACAGAAGAAGTTTAAAAAAAAAAACTCTTAGTGTTGCGGGTTTTTTCCTTTTCTTTTTTCTCTATCTTTTTCTTCGGTGATTTCTTTTTTCTCTCTCTTTTAAAAAAATAAAAAGCTATTTTTACTCACAAGTTATTTTTCATAACCATTGTTTTTCGGTAGGGTAATCGGGCTGAATCCTAAATTTAGGTCGAGTTCGATTATCTTTCTGCCCGCTTTAATCCAGGGTATGAGGCTTGAGCAACCTCATAACACGCTGTCTGGGCCGCAGTCGTGACGAAAGATGGTCGGACTCGGCTTCATATGAGGGGTTTGGTCTCGATAAAAGAGGCGGATTTTTTCATGATTATTCTTTTTTTTGGGCGCGGTTTTTTTTCTCTTTTTCTCTTTTTTTTCATTAAAAGTTATTTTCATCAACACTCAAGGTTATAAATATTTTTCAAAAATATTCTATCATGTATTTCTTTTTCAAAACGTCATCGTATGTATATAGACACTAGTATTCACTATGGTGCGCAATGTCAAATCAATAAGCACTAAAAAAAAAAAAAAAAAAAAAAAAAAAAAAAAAAAAACACCAGATCAGTCAAAATCAAGCCCATGGATAAGGAACTTTTCTTTGATGGGACCAACATGCCTGTGGAAAAATTTATCAAGAGGTATGAGAATGCTGGGTTAGCTGATGATGCTTCTGCTCAAGATTTGGCCAGACAGATTATCTCTTTTATCCATGGAAATGACCTCAAGGATGAAGTGGAAGAAATGACTGGCCATGAGGACTCAGACTGGGAACTCTTGAAGAAACAATTACTCAACAGGTTTGGATCCTCTTTACCCTTGGTCAAATACTCTAGACAGGACTTGAAGAGGATGGTCAACACTGCTATCCAGGCTGGAGGGATCAAAACTCTGGAGGAATTCAAGGCTTTCAGGACTAAATTTGAGACCATCACCAACTACCTCACCAGGATGGGCTATACTACCAGCTTGGAGGAATTCAGGGAGCTCTTACTGGAATCACTCAGTCCTGATTTGGAATCTTCAGTCACCAAGGAACTCATCAGGGACAACAAGATGCTAGCTTCCAAGGATGGTGGGGACATTCTCCCAAATACTCAAGTTATCCTTACCTACATACACAGAGAGGTTCAATCAGCATCAGTCATGGACAGAAGAAAACTCTACAGGATGGAACCCCACAGGGAAATGGCCAACTCACCTTCTTCTGCCAATCCTGCTCCCTCCTCCACTCCTAAGGATCTTCCCCCAGCCTTCAGACAAACAACTCCATTCAACTCTGGTGGACTTGAACAGAAAGTTGAAGAACTCACCAGGAAATTTGCAGCCCTTTCTGCTGGAAAAATGGTCCCTCCTCACCTTTCTGGTTCAACTCCTTATCAGTCCAACCCACCTGCTCCCAGAAATCCAGACTTCAAGTGTTACTACTGTTTCCTCAACAACCATGGCACCAAGAAATGCAACTCACTTCTGTATGATGAGTCCATTGGCGCAGTATCCAGGGATGGCAGAGACTTCAAACTCCCAGACAGCACTACTATTCCATGGGATGTCAGCAGGCCCATCAAGCAAGTAGTGGACCAATTTTCCAGGAATTCAGTCAACATATCTTCATCCTTTGGTCAATTACAGGAAGTGGAAGCTGAAGAAGTTGGCGCCTATGAAGTGGACCTAGGAAAAAGGACTAGATCATCAAAGGAAGAGGACACCCCAGCATCAGACAAGAGATCCAGAAAAGAGAAGAATACCCTCATGGACATGGATGAAGAGGACCTACTTAAAATGGCCAACCCTTCCAATCCTTCCAACCCTTCCAACTCATCCAAACCTAGTTCAACTCCACCCCCAGCTTCCCCTAAATCTGCCAGTCAACCAAACAAGGTCAGATTTCAAGAGCCATCAGGACAAGAATCTGCAAAAGAAAAGCCAGCAAAGAAGACTTACTTGGAGAAGACCTTGGCCAAGGAATACCCAGGAGTGGAAGAAGAAACAGCCAAGAGGATGCTCATGGGAGGAAAACTGGAACTCAGCTTTGGAGAAATTTTTGCTATATCTTCTGGAGTTACTGACTGCTTCAAGAAAAGGATTTCCAACAAACGGGTACCTGTGGAGGAGGCCATTTCAACACACTCTGGAGCCTTGGATGAAACTGATGGAGAAGAAGACTCAATCACTCACTACTCTTGCCCCCTTGGATATATCAACCTCTCTGTCAAAGGCCATGAATATCAAGCCCTTCTGGATACTGGATCAATGGTCAACCTTATTCCTCTTGGATTGGCTTAGCACCTGGGACTTGTCATTACTGAAAGAACCATGAACCTTACTGGAATTGGAGGCCACAGCACTGGAATTATTGGAATTGCTGAAGATGTGGAGGTTTTGGTTGGTAAAGTCACCAGGCCTGTTCACTTCTGGGTTGTCAAGGGCCCTGTCCAAATAATTGTGGGGAAACCTTTCTTAATGGACGTCTCAGCTACTATCAGATACAATGGATCTAGGGAGGAATCACTTTCAATTTTGGATCCCAAAGGAAAAACTTACCTGGTCCCAATCCTCTTGCCCACTCATCACAAAAAGGAAACCACTCTACCAGTCCACATTGTCACCAGGTATTTTTTAGGGAAACCCCAGGGTTTCAACTTCTCCAAGTAGAGGATGAGGACCTGGGAAACAAATCAGAAACCATTATTTATGCAGCAAAATATAAATCAACTCTAAAAAAAATCAAGCCAGTCAACCAACCTATGCCACTCTCCCTCAACCCTCCTCTCTCTAGGCCACCACTTTCCAGAGACCCCTATGCCACTCCTTTAACTCTTTTTCCACCCAAATTTATGCCCACCTCCAAAATCACTCAGGAAAGACTGGATCTTGTCAACTTTGGCCCCACTGGATGGTTGTCAGAAGAAGAACATAATTTATTAGTCTGGGTAATCACTCTCAGGCAGGGTGCACTAGCCTTCTCTGAGGAAGAAAGAGGACTACTCAAACATACCCATGGACAACCTTACATAATTCCAGTAATCCCTCATGAACCTTGGCAACAAAAACCAATTCCCATTCCTGCCCCCATCAAGCCTCAATTTATTGAACTGGTCAGAGAAAGACTCAGAACTGGCCTTTATGAGCAATCTTTTTCTAGTTATTCCAGCCCAGTCTTTTGTGTCAAGAAGCAGGATGGAAAATTACGAATTGTCCATGACTTACAAAAACTCAACAAAATCACCATCAAGGATGCAGGACTTCCACCATCACCAGAAGAGCTCATTGATTCCTTCACTGGCCGTGCCTGTTATGGACTTGGGGATATTATGGGTGGTTATGATGAAAGAGAATTGTCACCAGAATCCAGGCCATTAACAACCTTTGAGACTCCACTTGGCAGGTTCCAACTCACCAGACTTCCTCAAGGTGCCACCAACTCAGTTGCAGTCTACCAAGCCCAGATGATGTGGATTCTTCAAGATGAAATTCCCCAACACATGGGAATTTTCATTGATGATGGAGGCATCAAAGGACCAACCAGTGACTACAATGGAGAAACCCTGGAGGCCAACCCAAAAATCAGAAAATTTATTTATGAATATGCCATCACCTTAGAGGATTCTTTTCAGGATAGAGGAAGCTGGACTTACTATTTCTGGAAAAAAATTTGCTTGCTGCGTCCCTGCCTTGGATCTTATTGGCCATGTAGTCTGCAAGGATGGAAGAAAAATATCCCACAAGAAACTCAACAAAGTGGAAACCTGGCCAACTCCAACTAACCCAACAGCTGTCAGGGGATTCTTGGGTGTTTGTGTCTATGTCAGAATGTTCATCAAAGATTTTTCCACCGTCACTGCTCCTCTCAGAAGAATCACTAGGAAGGACTCCATTTGGGACTGGACTGAAGAATGCCAGGAGGCCTTTGAAGAACTGAAAAGGATTGTTGGCCTGGATATTACTCTCAAGAAGCTGGACTTTTCACCTGGAGCTGGAATCATCAAGTTGTCAGTGGATTCAAGCTACATTGCTGCTGGTGCTGTTCTTGCTGCTGGTGCTGTTCTTACACAGGAGGATTCTTCTGGACTAGACAGGCCAGTATTATATGAATCAGTTGTCTTCTCCAAAAGAGAATCTGAATACTCACAATCCAAACTTGAGCTCTGTGGTGTCACCAAAATCCTCAAGAAGCTCCAGACAGTCCTTTGGGGCCAGCATTTTCAACTCAGAGTGGACGCCAAATGCCTTATTGGAATGATCAACAACCCTTCTCTTCCCAATGCCCCTATGAACAGATGGATCACATTTATTCAGCTATTTTCTTTCGATTTGGTCCACACTCCAGGAAAAACTTTCACCTTACCAGATGGCTTATCCAGAAGACCCCCAGACTCAGATGAAGAAGATGGTGCCAGTTTTGATGAGGATGATAATTGGGCCAAACCCCACCCTGGTTTTGGTTTGAAGTCTTCTGTTGGTTTGCTTCTGGGGACATCAGCTCAGTTGGGGGAGGACTCAAGGGCCCTGCAACAAGGAATTTGGAAATTTTTGGAAGAATACTTATCCACCATGAACAAGCCCCCTGGTTGTTCTACCCTGGAATTCAAACAAATTGTTCACAAATCAGCCTTCTTTTTCCTTTCAAATGGAGTTCTGCACAGGAAAAACCAACCTTTCTCCCAAATTGTGGTCACTTCACCTCCTTCTCAAAAAGCAATCCTCCACTCACTTCATGAATCTTTGGGTCACAGAGGAATTTCAAAAACTTACAGAAGAACCAAACTCAGATTCTGGTGGCCTGGCCTCAAAAGAAGTGTCATCAACTGGGTCCAATCCTGTGAAGCCTGTCAGAAAAGAAATTCAACTTTGCCCATGGAAGAAAGAAAGGCAACTGGGAAATCAACTATCTTTGGAAGAGTCAGCTTGGATACTGTTCACATCAAGGCTGGAAGATGGAAGTACTTAGTGGTGGCCAGAGATGACCTGTCTGGTTGGTCAGAAGCCATTGGATTGGAGAAAATTCAAGCCAAGAAAATTGCTCAATGGTTCCAGGAAGATTGGATTTTCAGGTATGGTGCTCCCCTCTCAGTCACTGTGGATGGAGGATCAGAATTCAGTCAACAATTTCAGCAAGACCTCAAAGACAAAGGAATCAATGTCAAGGTTACCACTGCCTACTACCCAGAAGCCAATGGAATGGTGGAAAGGGGCCACCAAGCTCTCAAGGATACTCTGGTCAAGCTCTGTGGCCAAGAAGGAAAAAAGTGGAGAAATTATTTACCTTTGGTCTTATTTGCAGACAGAATTTCCACAAAAAGGTCCACAGGATACTCCCCATATGAGTTGGTGTTTGGACAACCTCCCATCTTGCCAATAGACTTGGAACTGGAAACCTTCTTTGGAGTGGACTGGGACCAGGTGAAAACAACTCAAGACCTTCTTCAAGCCAGGGTGAAACAGTTGGAAAACAGGGACTCTGTATTGCAAAAAGCTCATCAAAAATTACTGGATACAAGGACAACTTCTGTGGAATACTGGAACAAAAAGAAGAAAATAAGGAAACCACTAAAGGAAGGAGAATTGGTATTAGTATACAATAAAGCCTTGGACTCACAATGGGGAAAATTATTTGAAAACAAGTGGAATGGACCTTACAGGATCAAGACCCAACAGCCTGGAGGCTCCTATACTCTGGAAGAACTGGATGGCTCAGAATTGGCCAGAAGGTATGCTGCAAGCCATGTCAAAAGGTACCACCCCAGGGAAGGAGTTGAATAAAATAAAATAAAATAAAATAAAAAAATAAAATAAAATAAAAATAAAATAAATAAACATAAAATTAGGGCCTTAATAAAAAAACGCGGTTTTTCCGCATTTTGACGTGGTTTTGGCTGTGCGCAGCACACGCGGTTTCCGCATTTAGACGCGGTTTTTTAATTAATTTTTTACGGCTTATTTTTCGAGTTTTTTTGAATTTTTAAAATTGTTTCCTAGGTTTCAAAGCGCGTAGAATTTAATGGTGAAAACCATTTTCCATAAAAATGAGTTTTAATTATTAATTTTTTTTTTCTACTCATTTTTTCCATTAATTGTATGCATACATGTTTTTACCTTATTTTTCATGTTTTTTTGAAATTTTAAATTTATTTCCTAGGTTTTAATGTGCGCAGAATTTAATGGCGCAGTCCAATTTTTTTAAAACTCAACGGTTCACTTTTAATACTCAAATTACACTCATTTTTCTACTTAAATTTTTAGAGCCTAATTTTCATTCTTTTTTGACATTTCAAATTTATTTCCCACACTTTAAGACATGTTCAAAATGATGGTAACAATCATTTTTCATAAAAGCAAAATATTGGCAATGAATACTGCATTGGACAGGTTTTTTTTAATGTTTTTTGAATTAATTTTTACTGGCTTAATTTCAATCATTTTTTTAAATTTTAAATTTATTTCCTACATTTAAAGATGTGTAGAATCGAATGGTGAAGTCCAATTTCCATAAATATACAAGCTTCAATCTTAATACATGAGTGTACCCCGTTTCTTGCATAATTTGTACCTTATACAAATTTTATTTGAATGGCAAAATGGATACAGCCAGCAATTTTGAAACCTTTCAAAGTGTAGGAAATGAACTTCAAATTCCAAAAAATAATTAGGATAATTAAGCATGTAAGAATTAATTAAAAAAACCCGTCAAAGGCATCATTCAAGATACAGTTTTTATTTTGATGCAAAGTGATTGTTACCATCATTTTCAACATGTCTGAAAGTGTAGGAAAAAAATTTAAAATGTCAAAAAATAATGAAAATTAAGCTCTTAAAAATCAATTGAAAAATATGACTAATTACAGTATTCAGAATGAACCGTTGAGTTTTAAGAAAATTGGATGTTACCATCAAGTTCTACACACTTTTAAATGTAGGAAGCAACTTTAAAACTTCAAAAAAGCATAAAAAATAAGGTACACACATGTATGCAAACAATTAGGTGAAAAAGTGAGGAATTAATTAAAAAAACGTGTCAAATGCAGCATTCAAGGTATAGTTTTCAACTTGGGGAAAAATGGTTGATACCATAATTTTCTACATGTCTTAAAGTGTAGGAAATAAATTTAAAATGTCAAAAAATGATGAAAATTAAGCTGTAAAAAATTAAGTGAAAAAATGGGTGTAATTTGAGTATTAAAAGTGAACTGTTGAGTTTTAAAAAAATTGGACTGCGCAATTAAATTCTACGCATATTAAAACCTAGGAAATAAATTTAAAATTTTAAAAAAACATAAAAAATAAGGTACATACATGTATGCAAACAATTAATTGAGAAATGAGTGAAAAAAAATAATTAATAATCAAAATTCATTTTTATGAAAAATGGTTTTTACCATTAATTTCTACGCCTTTTATAGTGTAGGAAACAACTTCAAAAATTCAAAAAAAAACTCGAAAAATAAGCCGTAAAAAATTAATTAAAAAACCGCGTCTAAATGCGGAAACCGCGTGTGCTGCGTGCAGCCAAAACCGCGTCAAAACGCGGAAAAACCACGTTTTTTTATTAAGGCCCTAAAGAATATATAAAATAATAAAAAAAAAAAAAAAAAAAGAGAAGAATCTTACATACCTTGGTCTTCTACAAGGGACTTAATTTCTGACACATACTCTTCAGTCACCTTCTCTGACTGAGCCTCTGTAAAAAAAAATAATAAAAAAAAAATAAAAAAAAAACAATAAAAAAAAAAATATTAGTAACAGGCTTTCTCAAACAGATCAATTAAAGTATAATTTCTAGTAAAAATAGCTCACCAACTTCCTTGTGGAAGACAATCATCTCCTTATCTTTCTTCTTCTCTTCCTTTCCTTTAGCCTGGATTAAGGCTCTTCGAAGCTCCATAGGTGGGCCTAATTGATGCATGTAAAGCTAGCAGATTGAAAACCAGGATGAGCAACAACCCCAATGGATCTTGAAGAAAGAAAAAGCTCAAACTTACGGTAGAAAACAGGTCTTTGACGCGGCTGTATAGCCTCAACCGCCGGATTCGATCCGCTTCGTTGGCGGCGCTGTTACTTCTGGCGAAGCGAATCAGCTCGTCGGTGATCAGAATTCTAAAATCATGAAGTTCTTCGAGGGAAAAGGAGTCGCGAGTGAATGCTTGGCTGAAATTGGAGTAATCGGCTGGAAGAACTGAAGACCGCTTGTCGACTGAATCATAGTCAACTGGCGGACAAACGTTGATGGAATCGTAATCAAACGACAAACGCTCGTCGATGGAATCAGAATCCGAGCAGGTGCCAGTAATAGTAGCGTCGGACGAGGCGATTGACATAGGCCTCGAGGAAGTCATGGTTAAAAGATTGAAGTAAGATAGATTTTTGGGGAAAGCGTGGAAGCTGCGATATAGAACGGTGGGGCTGGACTGTCTGGAGTAATGGCTAGGGGGCGATAGGCCTTTCGTTGGACATTGACGCCGGCTTTTATGTCCAAAGACTCACTCACAAGAGAAGACTCACTCTGTCAGCCTCTGGGTAACTAACCTGAGTATTTAATAGTAAAAAGGTTGTTACTATGAGTTGACTGAAGTTTTTGATCGTGGTGAGTGTTAGGTAGTGGGTGATTAATACCAGTCCTGTAAAGAGGAGGTTTCACTCTATCAGTATGGTCTTTACTGAGAGGCTTGCTATCAACAGCGCATCCGGATCAATACAAGGTATTAATAGGCATCCAGGGTACTAAGACTCACCTGGGATTGATTTGGTTATTCCCAAAAGGGAATGGGCTAACAATACTTATTAAGCTTTAACAAAATTAGTTGAAGATTAACAGGTATTGTTGATGGGAATATTCAGCAAGGCTATGAATACTGTGGATAAGTTGAGTAAGAGTACTGAAGCTTAAGAACAATAAATGTAGACTAGATTTATGTTGGTTACGTGTACTGTATCAATATAAATGTTAACTGGTTTAACTGGTGTCTGAATATTCTGGGGATTAATCAGTGAAAGAGGCACGGATTAAAAGTTCCAGAATACTGAAGGGGGGAAAGAATGAGCGCTCAGAATCAAGGGAGCTTTGGCCAGGAGAATGAGTACATCAATTGAGTGAATGATCATTATTTGTCATGATCTGTAAGTGACATCATAATTGTGTACTAGTTGATTAATGTACTAGTAGCTCTTGATGCGTGTACTTAACAGATCCTCTAATAATGTAGTCATAATTGTGATCAGTGCATGTATTGAATGTATTAATTCTATTGACACTTAATACTTACTATTTAATACATGTACATATTTATTTGTAATAATATTTGACCGTGAAAATACTGTAGCAGAGGGATAACTTGTGGTACAGGTATTTCACGGACAAGGGAGTGAAAGGTAAGTGATAATTACTTATGTAGAACACAGGTATGTATTTAATAGATAAGTAATTAACAGATAAGATAACTGTAAGATAAATAAGGTAAGTTAATAATAATGATAAGATAACAAGAGGTAAAGGTAATCAACATTATGGATAAGTACTTATGTACATAAGTACAGGTGTTGCAGTTACTTGGTACATGAAAGGTACTGTGACATGTACTCTGTGGCTGACACACTCACAGTTCATATTCCCGATTTGTGCCTGAATCGTTAGCAACGATCTACGAGGACTTAACTCATCTGGTTCTTTTGATTGCTTCCTCAGCGGAAGTAATCGCGGAGGATCAAGATTGGAAGGGATTGCTTGTGCGATGCCGGTGTACGAACCGGACCCTTTCATTTGCACTCAGTCCCAATCTTGCCCGATGTTGGCGCTTGATTCGGGCTGTGCTATTTAGTCTTTTTTTCATCTTTACCTCTTTCGACGCCGGCGCTCGACCCGGACCATCATAGCTATTTCTTTCTTCCCATACGACTCAGGCCTTTTTAATTTACACCTTTTTAGATACCCTTTCGATGCCAGTGCTCGATCTGGGCTGTATCATAGTTTTTTTTTTCTTTTTAATTTTGACGCTGGTGTTCGAACCAGTTCCGATTCCCTCTTTCTCTGGGCTTATGACCTCATTACACGTTCACCTCAGCGCGTTCAGTCTTGCCGAGGATCGGGCTTTGTTTCTTTTCTTTTTCCGGCCTCTGTGGGTTTTCCTTTCACCGGATAGGCCAGGCTTGTACTCCTCATAAACTCATGGCTACAACAAGAAAAGCTCAGTCCACTAGAGAACCCCCAGAATTGGAGCACCATCACTGGAAGCTCATTATTCACCATTCACCAGAACTTTAACCTTCACCTGGATTTTTGTTTCCATTCACCATGGACATTACAGAAAAAATATTTCACTCAACAATTCAACATGAACCACTTCAACATCATTCATCCATCAATTATTCTTTCATCCACCATGTAGATTACTCTTACATTTTCAAGCATCAACCTTCACTTGCAATGAACACCACCTTTCCTCCATCAATTTTTTTCCTTTCTTCGAACATCATCATTCATTTCAACATCCAACAAATCAACATCATCAACCACTTTAGCATCCTTTATCCATCAAAATTCTTTCCATCCACCATTAAATATCCATCCATTCTTCCACCACCATCAGTAAATATTATTTGATCCATTTTTCCACCATCAACCACAAGTCACCTTTCCATCAATCCAAACCTGGTAATTTGGATCAGCAATTTTGGATCCAGCTTCACTCCTTCATCAGCTTTCTGGATCAAAATATTTTTTTCCTTGGTTCATCTTTCCTCCCACTTCCTTGGGGTTCATCAAATATTTCCAGCCATGTTTTTCCAGCACTAAACTCCAGCAACTTCATTTTTCACTATCCATCCTTTGAGTAATCCTCAACTAGTACCTTCCACATCATTTATCAGTACATTTATATGATTTACATTAGTGCACATCCATAATCATCCATCAGCCTTACATTTATATGATTTACATTAGTGCACATCCATAATCATCCATCAGCCTTCATAATTAGAAACACAGTAACATTTAAATTACCAGATATAATTACATCATCATTTCCCAGGTTTACACTTTCCAGTTATAACATACTCAAATTTTTATCAGTAAGCTTTTATTATTTTTATACTAAGGACACCAGAACATCATCATTAGCTTTTTACAGGCGCAGTTGGCTTTTGTAATAGTTATTTTTTAGGGTTAGTTTTACAAGCTGAAACAGCTTTGTATTAGACCATTTGCCAGTATTATCCCTTAGTTAGAAAATCTTATCAGCAGAATTTAAAATAGTAGTAGTTATAGTTGAGTTATGTACACTCAAGATTTATTTTATAATAATCATCAGGTCTTTTGGATCAAGACTTCATCTTCTTTTGGACTCTTTTGGATTGGACTACTTGGATTGGACTTCTTTGGATTGGACCACTTGGACTGTATTTTTTTAGGAATGGACTTCTTTGGAATACTATCTTTTGGATTGTACTTCTTTGGACTTGGACTTTTGGACACAGGTTTAGCTTTCAGGATCACAGGACTCTGAGGACTTTTGCTTTGGATCACTGGACAACTTCCATGGATTTTTCTTTATTCATTCTTACTCTCCATTTCACTTTTTCCCCTTGCTTTTCTTTTTTTTCTTCTTTCCTTCAGTTGTCTGGGGTCAGACAATAAGTTGGGGGAGGATGTGGTATGTCCATACCTTTCCATGTATTCTCATTTTTCACATCATTTCTACAAATATTCTTCCCATTATTATTTCATATTCAGATTCTACACATTATTTCACCCCTAGTCACCTCTTACAGCTTTTCAGTATCTCTTATAGTTCTCTAGTTATCATCTCTTCAGTATATTCAGAGTTACAGAACAGTACATTACTTTATACATACAGTACATATACATTACACATTATATAGTTACAGTCTCTATGTAGAATCACTCATTCATCATGGTACATCACCATTACTACATACTACACTACATATTCAGCATAACCATAACTACATACATCAATCAGGATAACCTTAACTACATTACATCATGTACATATTTCCCTTCACACTGCTTTGACTTTCCATACCTGATTAACACTTGTATACACAGAAAATCTGTCACTTAGCTACATTATTTCTCATCACTCATTACTGTTTAAGATTTACATTACCCATAGCCAGGATTTCCCCAGCCATAGTGCTTTGCTGTTGTATGTACATGTTGTACACATATATACTCTTTCTTCCCTCTCATGTATTTTCCCCCTCATGCTATGTACCTTGCCTGAATTATCTTCTAACCATAGTCTTAGAAATCAGAAATACTAGTATCACCCTTATATCTTTACCAGATATCATTGCCAGTTATATTTGCCAGTTATACATCCCCCCTTGCCAGTTATAAATCCTCATTTGCCAGATTATTCCCCTTGCCAGTGTCATTCCTCATTGCCAGTGTTACACCCTTGCCAGTATTATCCCATCACACCTCATTCCTCCTCCTCCTCACACCTCAGTAGGTACTACATACACAAGCTCATCAGTAATAGTAGTCTAAGATAAAGTAGAAATCAGCCACACCTCTATTCTTCTTTTTCTTAGTGTTACACTCTTCCCATCAGCATTGTACAGGAGGGCAGCCTCATCAGCACCTGTAGTATCAACTTACATTAGCACTAGTGTAGTTTTCTATATCCCCTCCAAGCTCTATCTCCCTGGTTGAGTAGTTCCACAGCGCAGGTCAGTGCCGACCTGGATGCCATAAATCTTCTGCGCAGCGGGCCCAACGGAAACACTGGGTCTGGCCGACATATCCCCAACCCATAGAGATCATTCATCCGTACTTTTTGCAGGTACCTGGTACCTCCTGGGGGGTACCCCTCGCACCCGCCCCGCACCTGCCAGGAGGTGCCAGGTGCGGTACTTGGTACCTATTTTTGTGAAAAATTGAACAGGTACCTCGGTACCTCTACAGGTACCCCCTCACTTCCCTACCAAAAGTCAAAATGATGGTGGCCTTCTACTCCAAGAAGGTACCTTGGCTGCATGGAAACAGGGACTCAAGGATAACAAGAAGTCTAACAAAAAATCAAAAAGGAAGGTGATGGTTTTGGATGACAATGAAGATTCTTCCAATTAGTTATAATTTGTAGATAGTTTCAACTTTTCAATAAATTATTAAATATGAACAAATGAAAAAAGTGATCTGGGACTGATGTTTTACAATAAAATATGAAAAAAATAGAAAAGTAAGATTCTTCCAATTAGATGTAGATATATTACAACAGATATTAAAAAATGCCAAAAAAAGTGACT